ATATATATATATATAAAACTAAAAATATAGCAAAAAAATAAAATACTAAAAATAGTAGTTTTAAAACTACTATGTTACTATAATTAGTGTTATCAAAATAATTTTATTATAATTTTTTGTAAAGCTTATGGCACATTGGCACATACAAAAATGTAAGGCTGTAAGATATAAACTTATGTAATATATAAAGAATATCGTAATATTTTTTGGATTTAGGCCTGTCTTACACAAAATTTCTATAACAGTAATTATAAGACATAAGCTTAAGTCTATGAGTCATTCAGAATGTTGCTTTAGGTCTATGTAATCTAACAGAAACAGAATTAGCAGTTATCTTATCTATGAGGCAAGTTTCAATCTGTTAAAATAGGTCTGGTGAATAAGTTTTACTGTTTTTCTATTTCCATTATATATCTAAGATAATCACATAGATCTAAAACAATATTCTGATTGGCTTATCAGCATATGTTTATATTTTACGATTATTGTTACAGAAATTTTGTTTGTCATATCCTTTATTAGTAGCTATATGATGATTAGCTGATTTGCTTACTGCTTACGTCCTACTGTCTTATGTTTTTTGAGTGTTCCATGGGTTTAAGTTGAAATATTTATTCTCTGTCCCCTATACTTTTAATTATATACAACCTCTTATATTAACACTTTATCAATTGTATAATATTATTTTATTAATTACTTTATATTAGACAAAATTAATATCAAAATAAAGAAATAGAATTTATTAAATTATATTTCTTAAGATTATTTAAGAATGTTAAAAGTTAACAATAGAATTAAAAGAAAAGATTAAATTTAAAACATTAAATAGACTTACCACCTGGATGGGAAAGATGTATATCAGATGACGGTAAAGTTTTGTATATCGACCATACAAATCGTACAACAACTTATACTGATCCACGATTAGCATTTGCTACTGAATATAGAGAAATGTCTCAAATAATGCGACAAAGATTTGATGCAAGTAGTACTGCATTGGCAGTATTACATGGACGAGACTTGCGTAACAAAGTTGCTCTCATTACAGGAGCTAATACAGGCATTGGTAAGTGAGAAAAATTATAGTTATAGATTATGTACAATTTTTCTAATTAAACAAAACTTTTTGTAGGATATGAAACAGCTAGATCATTAGCTCTGCATGGCTGTAATGTGATATTAGCTTGTAGAGATATGGAAAAGGCTAATGAAGCTATAAAACGCATTCAGCAAGAAAAAGATACTGCAAAGTGTATAGCTTTAAAAATGGATTTATCATCTCTGGGCAGTGTACGTGAAGCTGCTGAAGAGTTCAAGCAGAAATTTAAGTAAATATTTTACACAGTAGTTATAATTATTTTGATATTAAAATGTTATCTTTGTTATTATATGAAATTTTCTAATTTTTTACAGGTTTCTAGACATTCTTATATTAAACGCAGGCGTGTTTGGACTACCTTATCAACTTACAAAAGATGGTTACGAGACAACGTTTCAAGTTAATCACTTATCACAATTTTATTTGACACTTTTATTGAAACAGATTATACAGAGTTCTACAAAACCTAGAATTGTAGTAGTTTCCAGTGAATCACACAGGTAATGTGATACTTGGTATATTGAGGTATATTTCTCAAATATTGAGAATCTTTATAACCAGATATACACACTTTTGATATAGATTTTCATCAATACGAACTGTAGAAGACATTCACCAGTTAACTTTATCTGTACCAGCATATAAGTATTGGGCGATGGCAGCATATAATGAATCGAAGCTCTGTAATATTCTATTTATGCAGGAACTGGCACGTCAATGGCTCTCTGTAGGCGTATTTGCTTGTCATCCTGGTAACCTTGTGTCTACATCCTTACCACGTTATTGGTGGCTGTACCGATTATTATTTGCCTTAGTGCGGCCATTTACAAAATCATTGGTAATATATAAATCTCCTAATTCATTCGAAGCGCTATAAATTTAAATTTTGAAGAGTATATTTTTTAGAATAATACAAAAAGAATTGGTAATTAAGCTTTATCTCTTTTTCTCAATTTAATACATAGATAAATTTATATGATACAATCTTATTCAGTTGCATTTCCTAATACTTCATTATTTCATTGTATTATTGTATACTTTTGATTTATGTTCATATTATGATTTTGGAAAATAGGCAAAATAATGATTTAATTAGATAAAATGTATTCCAGCAACAAGCAGCGAGTACAGTTGTGTTCTGCGCTACTGCGCCTGAATTAGAGGGTATAACAGGTAGCTATTTTAACAACTGTTGCCATTGCCAGCCATCGAATGTTGCACTGAATTCTGCATTAGCTACACAATTGTGGACTCTCAGCCAGGATATGATAACAGATGCGTTAAAAAGAAATAATTAAATGTAAGAATTGTTACTATCTTTTAAGACTCGTTTAAAATTAAAATAATGTTGATGCAATCGGATTTTTTTAATAATCATGTAAACTTCTGTAAGACCTGCCGTCTTTATTAATATCTCGTCAGTGTATGCACTAAGACAGATCTTTAATCCAGTGTTCAAGGAGCAGAGGCCACATGCAAATACTTGACAAAATAGAAATCATCGACTTCGCATAATAAAGTTTAAGAGCTCAGAATTCGATTCTGGTTGAAACTGACTAAAGTATGTATCATGTAACATGTCGGTATAAATTTTGATCGGAATTATTCTCTTTTTCCTAGAAAACATATTAAAAATCTTGGGAATAATTGAATAATTTCGATCAGAATCCATTCCGACTTGTTCCATGAGTATCCCACAATTTAAAGATTAATTTTACGTATTTATTTTATTCAATTCTTTTGAAAATAAAAAGTATAATACAATAAGTAATTTTAAATCGTCACAAAATTAAGAATCGTTTTATGTAATTAGTTTTGCTATTATTAATGCAATAGTAAATTTGTGTATTTTTCTTACGTAAAGTTCTTTGAATTGAACTTACAAGTAATTCTATTTGTGTGTCACTTTACCGATTTTATTATTATAAAACTTAGTAGATTTGTAGAGTGGTCAAAAATAATGGACACATATTTTTTTATATCGGTAAATGTGCAGTTTTAAAGATGAAAACGACTCTTTGCATTTATAAATCAGTAATTAGCATTTAAGTTCAGGTATTAATTTTTTTTATTTAAAAAATAAGAAAAATATACAAAGAATCAAAAGATAGGGATAGACTCTCGTCACCTCCTCGTGGTTATTCTCGGGTTTGACGAGAGCGAGATAGGACTGTTTGAACCAATAAATAAATGAATGGAATTTATTAGCCATATTGAATCCGTCATTTTGGTTCCTTTATTCCAACAATGAATTTCCTTTTAGCAATATGAAAACCTTTTGTCATATTTCTAACAATAAGACTCAAAAATAGCTCTAATATCTGAGCTTAAATGTAACAAATTAATTATTGATTTATAAATATGAAAGATTGTTTTCACTCTTTAAACTGCACTTTTACCGATATGAAAAGTACATGTCTATTATTTTTGACTATTTTACAAATTTAGTGAGTTTCAATAAAATCAGCAAATGATACAAAGGTAGAGTTATTCTTGTTAGATGTATATTAAAACATTGTTATACAAAAAGTTATGTGTAGGTATGCATAAGATATTGATGAGTAGTATGATGTAATGTGTCAATGATACATAAATTGTCTGTGTGTCCTAATTACACTACATCTAATCGTCTTTGGATTCCTTTAAAAATTATATTTTATTATGATATTACATGATTATTACTATTAGTATACTTACACCATACTCCATATATTCCATAATTGTAAAATATTTTATTTAAAAATATTATATTATAACGCATCACATTCATAACTCTCTTGATTCAAAAATAATATTTAAAACTTAATCTAAATTAAGAAATTCTATTTTTTCAGTCAAAAATATTAATATTCTCTTCGCATTCCCCCTCCCCCCTTTTCTTTTTCGTCTCCTCTCTCTGCATGATTGTGATAACTTTTTTTAGCCATTTTTAATAAAATAAAAACATTTCACACAGAAACATGCTCTTATACTTTCTTTCAATATTAACTTGTTAAATTAAAATTTAACAAGAATACGTTTTTTTGAGATCTATATAATGTGAATCAATTCTGTAAAATTAAAACAAATAAATGACGTCAGTAGCAAATAAATAATTTGTCAGTGATGTCACCTATCTATCTTTGAAATCGAAAAAAAGAACTGATTAATGAACGTTTAGTGTCTCTTCAATGTATGAACGAAACTTTTCTTTTTGTTGGACATTTCCTAAGTTTTACAGCTACTTAACATTGAGCGAGTTTAAGACAGCAAAGCGGCTAGGTATAACGCTTGCCGAGCGATCAAGTATGATTGGTTGGATCTATAAGTAATAACCAATTATGTTCAATCGCTCGGTAAACGTACCTAGCCGTTTTGCCGTCTTGAACTCGCCCATTTAGAATTCCATAACAAAATCTTTTTTATTTTATAATAAAATCTTGCTTGGAAATCACGTTTTTTGCTTAATGAATAACGAGCCAGTCGACTGGTCCAATCAATTAATCAGATTGTGATTTGCCATGTTGAAACAGATAGCCAAGTATCAAAGATCATAGTATGTTTTTCTTCAGTGATACGTAGCATGTTCTAAATGTTTTATATTTTTCTTAAACACAGGAAGGTTAACTTGATACTAGTCTTCGTAATAAATTAGTTAATAATTTTTAAATTGAAAAAACCGATGACCTATTTTGCAAAATTATAAATTGTTGAATCTTAGAAGCTAAGTTTAAACGAGACATATTTTAATACTTTATGTAAGAAATATTTTAATACGCTTATGTGTAATGTATACAAGAGATACAAGTTTTATCGAACATAACATCAAACAGATACGTACACATATTTGCATTTCTATACATAAATTATTATATTTTTAACCTTTATCCTACCATCATGGATCACTGTAGTGACCGAACGATTCCTTACTTTTTCCCATTTTATGAATCTTTCGGTAATTATAACTTATACTATATTTTATTTTCTAAAATAAGAGATTAAATATTTGATCTTAAAGGTTGAATGTATGTTCATGAATTTTTAGATGTTATTTTGAGCTATTTTAAATAAATGAAAACAAAATGATACTAAAAATGACCTACGATAGTAAGGATAAGGTAACGAATTGAGCATGATATTGTAAGAATTAATTCTTTATTATCTTTCAAATTTTTATTCTATTACTGATGTTTGCGTAACTATTTTGGCAGATAAGAATTCGTGAATATCAAATAATGTTAAATTAATTAATTGATTATTAAAAATTGAAAAGTTTGCATGAAATTTTCAATTTTTGTTAAAATACAATATTTTTAAACGGATATTTATAAATATTGCAATATATTATAAAATTTACAATCCTGACTGCGCCAATAAGCACTCCTACTTCCAGGAACTAATCGCAATATGTTGCACTGCCGAATTCAATACATGCTGGATTCAAACACGCGACTCTCATATCCGTCAGGTTTCCTTGAACATCCGTTCAAATACGAGAATGCAATCGATCGAACTGTAGAAGCGCGATTTGAAGCAAAGCAAATTAAAGTTGTACACTATAGATGCACTGCGTTTTTTAAACATATACGAACGTAATATTTGATCGAGTCAGTGTGAGGAACGGGAAAGGATTGAGAATCAAACGTGCCGAGATAGTAGGTCAACGTCATTCTTTTTCTTTTCCGTCCTAGTGAACATCGTCGAGAGATATATATGCTAAAAGGAAGAAAGTGCTTCAAGAAAGGGAAAAAAGAATATTGAAAAAATCTGAATTGCTCAAATCAGTTCTCAAAGTGATATTATAATTTCAGACTTCGGTGAGATTTTTTTTCGTGCTTAGTTGCGACAACAAAAAAGTATCAACTGTTTAATAAAAATATCCGTGTACAACGTGTGAAGACGAAAAAGAAATGATTTTTTTGAAGTATGTTACATATCAGCAAGTTTAAATTATATAAAATTATTGGTAAAATTTTAGAAAATTGGCGACCTCACCAATTTCAATGGCTTTGGCACAATATGTTGTAGAAATAACGTCACATTTCTGCTACATATACAATTTAATATCCTACGTCTCTCCCTACTTAGGAACGTTTAACTTTTCATGCAATATAAGGTCTACTTATCTTCCTTCTTACTTAGAAGCTTACGACTTTCCACGCATTGCAAAACATAATATAAATATACAAAAATTATACGAAAAAATTGTTTTTAAAGCAGAGAATTTGTATATGTATATCTACATATTTAAAAAATGCTCTGCTTTAAAAATACAAAAATTATATAAGAAAAATTAAATAAGAAAATAATTTTGCATTTTTAAAGCGAAAAATGTGTTTTATCAGAACAGAGTCGTTTATATTGTCAACTTTGTTTGTTGGTATTTTTACAACGAAGGATGAGCGATGGTTAAAACTTGTGGGAAGTCACTTAGGGTCATGATCTTGATAATATACGTCAAGATCATTGAAATTGGCGAAGTCGCCAATTTTTTAAAATTTTACTAATGATTGCAAAGTAATAATGCAGAGATTCAAAAAAGACAGAACTTTTTCAAGCAAATAACAAATTCTTAATAAGTATGTCTATTGTTTATAATGACATTTTCTGACACAAATTTTAGATCACAAATAAAGGCGCAGCGCAACCAAGTAGCTTGCTGCGCGGGCGCTTTGACGGATATCATTGAATATCACGATACTGAATGAGTATTGAAAATGTTCTATGAAATCTCTATTAGTTTAGCAGAAACCATATTTCGTATCAGGAACCTATCCCATAATAAAGCAACTTTACTCTAATAAGTGACGAGAATTTGAAAATTCTCAAATTTTAGATAAATATTGTAAAATATAGAGCTGTGGGAGTAATTAACGAAATTTTTTATGATAATATGTAAAATATACTGTACCTGCAGTTTTTTCTCTACATACATAAAAAAAATGTTTATTATATTGAATTCATGCGTATGCGCGGTGTTAGAGGATTTTCGGAGTACGCTAATATATGTTGTAGTTATATGTATATGTTATAAGTTATATGTCAGACTTCACTACTATTATTAGGCTGATTATAAAGAAGTCTGTGATTACATACGTCGAAATATAATTTATTTTTTATACACTTAAATAATAAATAACAAGATACTGGCACTGCGATCTTTCAACCTCAAAATGTCAAGCACGTATTCTCTAGCATATATGTGATGCATCGACCAAATTGCATGAACAAATTACATTTGTTTCTACTACGTATATATAGATTTTGAGCACTTTTATGCATGATATATAAGGGAGTTAGCGGTCTAATGTATAGTACAGAAGTCTATGGTTATACATCATCTTTTGTTGAGGTATCTCTTTATTTATTTGTTTAAATGATAGGTCAAAGAAAAATTAAAACAAATTCGGGATATTCATATGTATATAGGTATAATAGTTATTTTGAAATAATAGTATACTATAACAATTAAAACCATAGCAGTATTTATGGATGTTAGTTATTTATTATAATTACATTAATTTATTTTATACAGATCATT